TCTGCACAGAGGGCTTCTAGCATTGGCTCTTCCAGAGCAGCCCTTCTGAAATGCTACGTGTGTGGGTTAGTAGCAAACCTTTCTCTGCAATCAAGTCTTTCTCCCACTAATCATGTTCTCTGTGTGATTTAAAATATTCCCTTCACATACGACAGAAAGAGCTCCACCCTGAGCTATTTTTATTTGTTTGTTTAATTGTCTCACTTGCTTCTCCTTAAAACCATACAATCCTTGCTATAAATAATACCTTCCACTAAAAATATATTTAAAATGGTATCACCGACTGCAGCTTAAACTACTAAGCATAGAAATACACCATATGGACTTAGACCAAAATATTAAGAGGTGTCTGGCTGTAAATCAGCTCTATAATATGGCTTTCTGGCCTCTTCAATCAGAAAGAAGCTGAGGCCAGGTCATCACATGGAGCAGTTTGTCAGAAACGTTCAGTCCCTCTGATACGTTCATTTGTCTACACTGTATGAACTTGGCTGTTCCTGGTTCACATGATGAAGCTTGGGGTCTATCCCACTGGGAAGTGGGCAGAGGGAACAGAGACTCCCGCCAAGGGCAGAAGTTGTTCTCACTTCTTATGATAGCATGAATCTCAGGAGGGGCTGACCCTCGTGCAGAAGAAATCCACATACAAGGTGAGAGGTGTGGACGGAGAGATGGGAGGCGGAGTTCCTGCCAGGCTGCTGCAAGGGGGGGAGGGCTCGGGACAGACTCCAAGCCCAGCGGTGGCCACCTGGCCACCTCCCCTTGTGGGAACACACCCTAAGCCTCCTTTACAAGGAACCATAGTGAGAAAAGGGAACTGATCAGAGGTGAATGTGAGGAAGTATTAGCATTCTGCGATATTTTTAAATGAGAGGACAAAAAACCCACCACGCATTTTTAAAAGAAAACAGTAGCACGCTAAAGATGCCAATTAATTACTCTGAAAATATGAATGAAATACAGCTGAAGTTTGCTGCGTTGTACATTTCAGCACGAAACACGTCACACTGGTCAATAAAACCACATCCCTGCACTCCTAATGCTGCTCCATTTACTGCTGCATCAAGCCTCCAGGCTCCAGAAGTCCAGGAAGGAGCAGAGCACACACCCACGCAGAGGCTTGAGGACCATGGTGCTGCTTAAGAACAAGAATCTCAGACGTGAGGGCGCATTCGAAGAGGCACTCAAGCTGCTCTCTAGACATGCTCTGTGCAAGAACAGGTACACCGCCCAGCAAGACGTCCACATGTCTCCTGGGCGAGAGGCTCAGACCGGGCTTCCTGAAAGTTGTTTAATCCAGCTTACTGGAATATTTGAGTAACCATCAAAACATAACTCCAAGGGCTTTACACCAGTCCCGCTGACACGTCTGACATTTCAAATCACGGAACTATAAAATTCTAAAAGTCATTCTGCAATGGTGTCAACCAGTCAGGAAATGTGCTTTCCCATACATGTCATTTTTTATTTGATCAGAGATGAAATGAAAGTGCATTAAAACATCTGTTTCCTGGGATACATTAAAGACCGCAGAGTCTAGCAGAGATCAAGGGGAAAGACAGAATCACTCAAGCAGAAGAAAACATTTTGTTTTGGGGGGATATCAAGAATACAGTGAATCTGGCAATGTCTATACAAGTCCACAGGGCTATTTTTAGAAAACTGAAGTATTATGTAAACTCAGGATCTCAGTGTGAAGGGGCCTTGGAGTTCAGCTGGGTCGAGTCCCTTATTTACACAGTGGGTGTCTGTGACCCAAAATGTGAAGAAAACAAGCTGTAGATGTTTTAAATACATGTCTGGGAAAAAGTGACAGCGATATGGTTTGGCTGTGTCCCCACCCAAACCTCATCCTAAATTCCCACATGTTGAGGGAGGGACTTGGTGTGAGGTAATTGAATCATGGGGCAGGTCTTCCTGTGCTGCTCTCATAATAGCGAGTAAGTCTTATAAGATCTGATGGTATTATAAGGGGACGTTTCCCTGCCCAAGCTCCTCTCAATGCCTGCCACCATCTACGTAAGATGTGACTTGCTCTCCTCTGTCTTCTGCTATTATTGTGAGGCTTCCCTAGGCACAGGGAACTGGAAGTCCAATTCAACCTCTTTCTTTTGTAAATTACCCAGTTTCGGGTATGTTTTTATCAGCAACGTGAAAACGGACTAATACAGAGAGTTTCTATTTGACTTTCTCTAAAGCACCTGTGTTTCCTTAGAGGATTTTTGTTTTTTGGGTGTTTTTGTAAACAAACAAAAAAGGTGTGTTTTTTTGTTTGAGGTCCCCTTTATGGAATCTTTGAATGGGTAACCATTTTCAATAGTCATAAAATTAATATCTGAAATAACTGTAAACTTATTTCTACACTGTAAATCTACACAGTGTTCTAACCCTGAAGTTCTTATTTGTGCTTCTCGACAAAGTAATTAAAGGAAATGGATTTCCCTTCTGCAGAGTTTAAAATCACTCTGTTTGGCCAGGCACGATGACTCACACCTGTATTCCTGGCACTTTGGGAAGCTGAGTGCACAGATACTTGAGCCCAGGAGTTCAAGACCAGCCTGGGAAACATGACAAAACTCCATTTCTACCAAGAAACAAAACAAAACAAACAAACAAAAAAAAACAAGACGAAAAATTAGCCAGGTGTGATGGCACGCAACTGTAATCCCAGCCACTTGGAAGGCTGAGGTGGGAGCATCACTTGAGCCTGGGAGGTGGAGGTTGCGGTGAGTTGAGCTTGTGCCACTGCACTCCATTCTGGAGTGACAGAGAGAGACCTTGTCTCAAAAATAAATAAATAAATAAAGTATGTTTTTAAACTCCAAAAATAAGCACTCTGGAGGCCCAGGTCCGTTTGTGAGATTGGCAGTCTCAAAATTTTTGAGATTATACACTGATAAATGTAGAGGATAACCCATTTATTTATTTTAGCCATGTCAAGGGGAAAGAACAAAAGGGAAAGAAACCCTGGACAAGGAATGCCTGTAGCGTGTTTCTCCGCCCGGGACCTGCGGACATTCTAAGTCAGCAGGAAGGCTCTTTGGGGTGCTGCCGTCCAGGCACTGTGGGATGTCCCACAGCATCCTGCAATGCCCGCAGCACCCCCTCCCCACTCTGAAGTGTGACAACCAAAAGGTCTCCAGAGACGACCACCATGTGTCCTGGGGAATGAAACCCCCCAGATGGGCACCACTGCACTGCATCTAGGAATGGGTGCATTTTAAAGCCAGAATCAGAGGGCGATTCTTTGGTAAACAGCCTTAGTCATAGCCATGCGATCACAGCCTCAGATGTGGAGTGTGAAACCGTAAGCATGGCCAGCCCCTGGAAGGGTGGTGACTCAGTCTTAGAGAAAACGTACACTAACGATGACAAGGTACCAAACATGGTACCAAAGAGTTTAATCCTACCAACGGCTCTTAAGGAGGGTGGCATTTCCCCCCCACTTTTCCAGTGGGGAAAGGCAGTCTTACTAGGAAGTGGGGTGTGGGGCGTGAAACCCCAACCCAAGTGCAGCAAACCCTTCCGTGCTTTCTCTCTCCTTGCCCAGCCCATCATCGTTCCCGGGTCTCATTGGGGGCCACTCCGATTTATGGGCGGTCGCTTCCGTAACGGGTCATTGAGTCGAGCTCTGAATGGCTTTACTCATTTTGGATTTTTTGACCAACAATGACAATCTAGTCCATCTTTTTGTTTTATTATTCACTTGATGATTATGGGAAGTCTAGATGTTCAAGCAGTGGTGACATGGAGAGCAACCTTGTGGAATGGCCTTTGGGTTGACCAGGAGGACTGCTGCATATTCACAGGCTTCAAACCACATCCCTGGCGCGTTCCATACACCATGCGCCCTGACTGCTTCAGCCACCCAGCGTCACTACAGACTGTTCAAAGGTGATAGCAAAAGTCCAGTTAGAAATTTTTATTCAGGATAACAGAGAAACCTAATGCTGGTAAAGTTCGACTTTGATCCTTGACTTACCAAAGCATTCATACAACATCCCGGTTAAATAAAATCGCCCCAAACAGGCAGCTTCCAGCTCCAGAGAGCCTCATGGCCATAAAGAGATGAGAGCATCTGGCCAGCTCAGCTCCGTAATAGCATTTAGAGGGGCCTCGTGGCTGATGAATGAGGATTAACATTACAGATGAATATCGAGAAATATTATGAATGGGTGATTCATCCGTCACATGGCAACAAAAATAGTTGCAGGGTCACATTTCTGGATCAGACAATCAGACGCATGTTTGAAGTTAAAAATAACAAAATATGCTTTGCCTATTAGAAACTGTAAGACCAACATTCGCCTGGAATCTTTGTCTTCTATCATGTCCATTAATATTCTAGAAATTATAGAGGGGTGGAGATGGTGGCACCAAAAATATTTTCGACCTCATAATAGAAATTAGTCAATGAATATGATGTAAAGGTCACAATTACTAAATCCTATCATTGCTCAGTGTTTAACAAATACGTGCTGGGTACACCTGGGTGGGGCACAGGGCCTGGCATTGAGAAGATGGAAGTGAACAAGTAAATATCGTCTCTGTTCTCATGAAACTTACAGTTTTGTGAGAAAGGCAATAAAGAGGCAAGTCAGTACTTTGTTTTGTTTTGTTTGAGACAGAGTCTTGCTCTGTCACCCAGGCTGGAGCTCAGTGGCACAATCTTGGCTCACTGCAACCTCTGCTTCCTGGATTCAAATGGTTCTCCTGCCTCAGCCTCCCAAGCAACTGGGATTATAGGCACCCACCACCATGCCCGGCTAATTTTTTGTATTTTTAGTAGAGAAGGGGTTGCACCGTGTTAGCCAGGATGGTCTCGAACTCCTGACCTCATGATCCGCCCACTTCGTCCTCCCAGAGTGCTGGGATTACAGGCGTGAGCCACTGTGCCTGGCCAGTAAGTTTTTAAAAATAAAATTATGGTAAGTGCTATGAAGAAGGCACAGCCATGAGAAAGAACGCTAGGCAGGGCAGGCATTAGAATACAGCCAGGAGCAGATTGTGGTGGGGCCGAGAGCTGAGCTGAGAACTGAAGGAGTCGTAAGACCTGGCATGGGAGGAGGGAAGGGGGAGCATGTGAAGAAGGAACATCACACAAAACATTCAGAAGCAGGAGAGAGTTTGGAGAAGTTGAAGGTAGGGGAGGGTCCTGAACACCATGTGTAAGGGGCATAGCTCCTGTGGAAGAGGGAGAGGAAGCCAGGTGGCCCAGGGCCTCAGAGGCCACAGGCAGGACTATGGGTTTTCTTTTGCTTGTCATGGGAAGCCACTGAAGAGTCAAAAGTGGGTGAGTAAAAGGGCCTGATGAGCTCTGAAGAACATCTCAGCGACGGCTGCTGGGCCGCAAGGACGAGGCGTCAGGAAAGCGGTGGGTGGGGTGGCAGGAAGCCTCTGGGCAGGTGACGATGAGACAGGAGTATACAGGTGCAGGGGGTGGAGAGAGGAGACGCGGCTGGAGATGACACGTCACCTGGAGACTTGGTGGGGTGTGCTGATGAGAAGGTCACAGAGAAGAGCAAATGCAAACCAGGGAGACAGAAGCTGCGGGATTCTTTGCTGAACAGCCAGGTTGGTGGTGACGTCTGAGTAGAAATGGGGGCGCTGAGGGACAGAGGGACAGTTTAGAGTTTGGCGAGTTCTGTTTTGAATAAACATGAGTTGTATGTGAGACTTTGAATTAGAGAAGCTTACTAGGAAGTTAGACATACAGGGCTGGATCTCAGGAGAGAGTTAAGAGGTGAACGTATAAACTGGGAGTGTAGGGATTGAAGCCATGAGAATGACAGGCTCCCCTGTGGATGGTCCAAGCAGAACCATGCAGAGTTCTAACATAGAGAAATTGCTCAGAGCGAGAGGGGTTGGGGAAGAGTGGGGGTAGGAGTCAGGAGGGGAACCCCAAGGGTGCAGTCCCACAGAAACCAAGCCCTGCAAAGAATGCTCCTTATACATTCAACAGGCATGTTTTTGTGCACCTGCTGTGTCAGGCAGTTTTTTGATTGACAGTGATTAAAGGGTCAGCAAGATAGACAAGGTCCTTCCTCTTGGAGCTTACGTTCCGGAGAGAGTGTATGTTTCAGAAACGTGTGATTAACTAACTGTGCTGAGCAATCCTGAGGGGAGGAAACGAGGACATGCGTGTTATTGGGCTTTGCAAGGCGAGGGGTTCTTGGTGATGTTGACAAAATCAGCCGCAGGGGTGTGGTCTGATGGAAGCCAGGTGTGAGTGGCTTGGCTTGTGTCCACCTAGTCCCGGTGAGGAGGCCGTGCAAGCAGCTCATGTGGACAAAGTTTTGGAGAATTTGGCTTTGTGAAGGGGAGAGACAGGTACCAGGTCTAAAGTTGCGTATGTCTTTTTTTTTTTTTTTTGAGACAGAGTCTCACTCTGTCACTCAGGCTGGAGTGCAGTGGTGACGTGATCTCAGCTCACTGCAACTCCACCTCCCAGATTCAAGTGATTTTCATGCCTCAGCCTTCTGAGTAGCTGGGATTACAGGTGCCCACCAGCACACTCAGCTAATTTTTGTATTTTTAGTAGAGATGGGGTTTTGTCATGTTGGCCAGGCTGGTCTCGAATTCCTGCTCTCAAGTGATCCATCCACCTCAGCCTCCCAAAGTGCTGGGATTACAGGTGTGAGCTACCGTGCCTGACCCCATATATCCTTATGTAAAGACGGAAGACCCAGAGCATGTTAAGCGCTGATGGAAATGATCCCATGGGAAGGAAAAATTAATGCAAGGCAGATTTGGGCAAATTGACACAGCCTTTTTTGGGAAGGCAGGGGTGGGGTGAAAACAGAGCATAGATAAAGAGCTAGAGCTCTGATGGAGAATCAGAAAGGAAGGCGACAATGAGGTCAATGCAGGGAGTTTTAGAAACTTGCAGATGGGAAGATGTGTGTGTTCTCGCCTGACGCCTTCTAATTTGTTGGTGAAGTAGGAGATCACCAGGCATAGCAGGAGACAGAAAAGAGGGCATGAGAGATTCCACAAAGAGGTGAAGACGTGGTACAGGCATCAGGAAAAGTGGGAAAAACATTAAAGAGATACAGCAGGTCAGTGCTGTCTGCCTCTTGAGAGTTTGTGATCGTGAATTTAGAGTCTGACCAGGTGCTCTCATTGCACCATTTTCTCCAACCACACTGACCCCTGGAGCATATGTCAACAATGACATAAGCCACCCAAGGGTGAAGTTTACAGGTAAGTCAGACTGAGGAAGAGAGAGACAGGAAAGTCAAGGGGTTCAATGGCATGGGTTTGTCGTAAAAGTAGACCCGGGAAGAAAAATGAAGAAAGGATAAAGCCTTTGTCAGACCCTAGAGGCAAAGGTCTGCCTGTCTCTGCAGCAGCTGAGCAGATAGCTGTAGCATGTGGCTTTCAGAGCAGGTGACACCCGAATCACGAATTCCCTGTGGCCTCAGGGTCCCCAGGCAGTGATGGTCCAGATGTCCCTGCTGACTTGTTTTGGCTGGATGCCCCTCTCACCTTTGGCCATCTTGGATTCATCCTATCTTTGACTCCTCAGCTGGGTGGATGGCTTCCATTAGGTACAGTGGGAGGGAACTGCCCCAGAGTGAACTGCAAACCTGTACGCTGTCTGAATTACCTGGGGAAAGGGACGTGTTGTGTATCATCTTAAAAAAAAACATTTAACTGAGGTAAGGCACCTGTCTCCAGAGAAAACACACATGAAGATGCATAAAATGTGGTGTGTGATGAAGGAGGGCGTGAGGGCAGAGATTCTGAGGCTTCAGTTCCACCTGTCTGGGGAGAGGAGGTTGAGAGAGCTGGTCTTTGGACGCCCCGGTGGCACAGCACCAAAAAGAATGTGGGCCGCAAGAGGGCAGGAAAGAAAGGACAGTTTAAGCCAACTTCTTCCTCCTGCAATTTTTATTTCTCTACCTCCCAGCCAAAGCACCATTGTCACAGCCATTTTAAATGTGCAACCAGAATGGAAATCTTCCTACTGCGTTTCAGCATAGCAGGAGCTAAGGCCTGAGACTGGCGCGGCGTTTCTGGAAAGTTGGTGTTGCTTTTTAAAATAAGCTTCTTTATCCTCTTGTATGTTCATTTGCAAGTAATTAAATACACACACAACAGTAACTCAAGGATTAGGAATGTCACTGACAAGGAAAGTAATAAACAGGAGGAAATTAAAAGAACCCACTAAGCCCCAGGAAAAAAAAAATCTAACAGATTTAATCAGGAGAAATAAAATATTCTCTGGGCCCCGTTATAAAGACCCCTGGTGCCAAGGAAATGTGGCAGAAACAGGACAATTAAAACAGAGCCTCACGAAGAAACGGGGAGGTGGCTGAACAGGGCAAGCCACCCCGGAAGAATTCAAATGAAGGAGCGAACCTAAACAAGAGGCCCGCCAAATGGGAAGAGAGGCCGAGAAGCGTGGCGGAGTCTGTCTGTGGTGATGGCAGGAAGCCCGCAAGCCTCCCAGGCAGATCCTGGGAGATCCAGGCGTCTTGCTTGAGCTAAGCATGTGTTACACTCTCCTGCAGCCTTGCATGTCTGCTACAGACTCAGGATTCTGAAGACGTGACAAGCCACTGACAAGGATCATTCTCCCCACAGACACCCCTCCCCACCTAGCCTTACTGAGCAGACAGAACTGATGGTTCACATAACACAGAAAAGGGATTAGACAATCTGACCTGCGCTATTAGAATACTTCTTAGGCTCCGTGATAGCTGGATTCTTGGCAAATTGCTTATGGCAACAAGCATTTAGCAATGTTGTGACTGTCTGGATCTGGCGAGTAACCTTACCCTGGAGCTATTTATTAGAGCAGGCTGGAGACGGCGTAGTAGCTCATGACCTGCTCTTCACGGGGATGGGGAGGATGCTGGGGGCTCCTCCCGTTCTCCTTAAATGCACCGACCAGACGGTGGCCACATCAATTGAGGGCCTACTATGTGCCAGTTCCTTGCACACATTTTCATTCATTTTTAAACAAGTATTAACACAGTGTCTACTATGTGTTGAGTTCTAGGGTTAGCCAAGAATGAGATGGGCAGAGCTCCCTTCAGGGAGCTTGAGGTTTAGTCTACCAGGCAGTGCAGGCCAGGTTTCACGGCTATGCTTGTTTTGCCAACAAAGTCCTGCTACGCCAACCTTCCACTGCTCACCCTTGGGTTCATACAAGGCAACATTGCCCAATAGATCCACCTGCCACAGCCACAGGTGCAACGGCAGCTGAAAAATTACCTGTAACTTAAATAGCCACGTGTGGTTGGTGGATGCTCTATTGAACAGTACAGAGGAAGACTATTGACCCAAGATATTCCAACCTTAAAGACAAGCGTGCTCTTTAGGTGGGGGGCCATGGCAGCTGCTCTCCATGATATGTAAGGAGTTGCTTGGGGCACGCCTCTCTGCAGCAGCAGTTTCTGCTGCTTCTGCGATGTCCTAAGGGCTCCTTAGGGACTGGATGGCAGGGGTGCTCCCGGCTGGGGCAAAATGCCTTGGGAATTTCTGGTCTGTCAAAACTGTGTTGAGCTGTCTACCAGCGAGGCCCTCCTGCACAAAGCTCCACATTGCTGCTTCATTAAGGGAAAAGGAAACCAGGCTTTATTTTGAAATAAAAGTATACTTTTCTTTAAAAGAGAAAACTCTTGGTATGTATGTAATATATGATAAATTGCACCACACTTGCAAAATGCATGCTACATAAAACAAATAAAATAAAAACAAAAAAACACAAATAAATAAAAAAGCAAAGTGTAACAGTTCGTGTTACACTTTGCTCTTTATTCCTGTGTTATAATACATTATGGACATGTTTTGGTTTCCAAATATAAATACCTGCCTCTCCTCCTCCCCTGGACATCAGCGCTTCAGCGTAAATGGGGAGTCCTCCCCTCCCCCCTGCTACATCCCTATTCCCCATTCACAGTGAGCCACCGTCCAGGACCTGGAGTCCGAAAAGGCTCTCCAAGTCCATGCGTGCCTAGACTGAATGCCCTCAGCTCCCCCTGCCTGTCCTGGGACATTGTTTCCAGCCTGTGCATCCTCTGAGTGATATTCACCTGTTATCCACTTCCTTCTGGGATGTGCAGGATCACACTGCACCTTCAAGGTGGGGGGACAAGCATAGGGACATGGGACAATTCTGTGCCTAGACACCC